GGCTGGGAGCGGGTATTTGGCTTTATCTGATGCTCCGTCCTCATTCGGGCTGTCTCCTCCCAGGCAGAACAAGGGCTGGCCTCCCGCGCCCACTCTGCTCAGGCGGCTGGCTGTTCTGATTGTTCGCTTGGCTTTTGTGTTTAAGCAAAATAAGTTCATTCCGCCCTTTGAACAGGCCCGTAAGGTGGCAGCAGACGCTGACATCACATCCATCTTTGTGCAGATGTATTTTTTTTAAAGATTTTTATTTATTTGAGAGAGAGAGAGCATGAGCAGGGGGGGAGGGAGCAGCGGGCTTCTGGCTGAGCAGGGAGCCCGACATGGGGCTCGATCCCAGGACCCTGAGATCATCATGATCTGAGCCGAAGGCAGAGACTTCAACTGACAGAGCCACCCAGGAGCCCGATTTGTGAAGATTTAAACACCACACGGCCCCCCACCTGCTGAGGGGGCAACACTTCAGCCACCATACCCATTGGCGTGCAAAAACTTGGCCTATTCTGGAAGGACCTCTGTGACCCTCGCGGCTTCATGCATATGAAAGATGAGGTTAGTTCAGGATACACACAGGGCTTTGCAAGATCTGCACAGATCGTTCGAGGCCGGCCGGCCGTCCACACGACGCGGCGCTCCTGGCGGACGTCATTACGTGCTCTTACAATGAAATCTCTGTGCAACCAGCTGTTGAGACAACAAAAGAGCAAAACCGACCACGGTCCCCCATGAATAAACCTAAGACAGAAAAGTCAGCCAACCAGGCTGCTGGGTGCTTCCCCCCCTGGGGACACAGCACAACTCCAAAGGGGCCTGGGGACCAGGAGCAAGGAGCTGGGCCCCCTTCCCCACCAGCACAGGGGCCCCCATCCTGGGTGCTCCCCGCCGCCTCCTGATCCCTCCTCCCCTCTACAGCCCGGCCTAGGGAGGGATGACCTGCCCGCTGCGCACTTAACCCAAGGGCTAAATGCAGACCAGGGCTCCAGGGGCCAGGCCCACGGGAACCCACAGCCTCTGTTTAAAGATCCCAAAGGCATTGAATCCAGTCTGCTGCTTGGGTTCCACCCGGCCACCTTCGCAAAGGGGACCTGTCCTTAATGCCGTTTACCTCGGGGAGGGAGAGACGGCTCCGCCCCCACCAGCGCTCTTGGAAAGTTGCAGCGACCCCATCCCGAGGTTGTGCAGCGTCAGGAGAGCACCTTAGTTCCTCAGGAGCACGTGGGAGTGGGGGAGAGCTAGGTGGACGTGGCTTTGGGCACATTTTGTGATTTGAAAGGACAACTCTGGCCCCGTGGAGGAATCCCGGCCTCATGCCTCATGCTTCCTGCAGCCTCCCTCAGACATTTCCCTCTTGGTGCAGATGGCAGGGCAGCAGGATGGGGAGGGGGGTCCAGCGGACCCAGGGCTGGTCAGAGCGGGGTGTGGGGGGAGCAGGGCAGGAATCTGGCAGCCAGGGCCGCCCAAGGTGGAAAGTCTGGAGATTGAATGGATGAATCTTTCCTTCTCTCCCTCTGCTGCCCCTGCAGGTTGCAGGGGGGCGAGGGGGGGGATGCTGAATTCCCCAGCAGGACACCAGAGCCCAGGGCCCCAGGCTGCAGCAGCCCCAGGGAGAGATGCTAACTTTGGGAGGAGGGTGGGGACGGCCGAGTCCAGGGTTGGGGCAGGGACCTGGTGGGCAGGGCAAGAAGGCTGCTTTTAGCTTCAAGTCCATCCTGCCCTGTCCCTGTTCCTGGCTCCTTCTGACCCCATGTCCCCACTATAAAATGTAGGCTGGAAGCAGGTGCATGTTCTCTGCTCCTCTGACCGTTGTGTGAGCTGCATAAAGTTAAGATACCACACGGGGCCAGGGGGGCGGGGGGCAGCTTTGCTTGTGGAAGCCTTGGGGGTACAGGGGTTGCTAAGGAGTCTGGGCCAAGTGGCAGAAGTCAGATTGAATGGGCTCCTTCCAAGCCTGGGCCCAGATGTGGGGGTTCTGGAGGTTTTTCTCCAGGGTCAACCACTGGAGGTTACTGGGTCACCCTGCAATCCGTTTGTTGCTTCTCTTTTTGCGGCAGCCAGGTGGAGGCCCTGAGATATGTGGGTCTGGCCATTGGGGGACACCTCCCTGCCGGCCTTGGAGTGATCCCAGGGCCCCCAAGGCACCTGTGTGTTTGGGTGAGGGGCGGGGGGGTATCTAGGGGTTGGAAGCGTTGGGGTGGCCCCAAGAGACCCCTGTGCCCTACTCATCCTCAGGAGTCCCCCCGCCCCCAGTCTCTTCAGACCCCAGGGCAGCTCAGAGCAGGGAGAGGGTGGAGTCGTGGGTCGTGGGTCCAGAAGGCCCTGGGAGGGGCGGTGCAGGGGAGCTGGGCTGGGACTGCCTGAATTTCTGTCTGCATCTCTTAGGGCTCTGCAATCCCCGCTCAGGGGGCCTCAAGAGGCTGAAACAGAGTCTGTGTGTGTAACAGGCCTTCAGCAATGCTCCACCAGCCCCCAGCCCCACCTGGGGCCCCTCCTCACTTCCTTCTTGGTTAGGAAGCCAGAAATCGCCACTTGAATTTCTTCAGCTTTGCTCCAAGGTTACGACTCATCTAGCTCCTTTCACTGTCCTCTTCCTCTGGTCCTGAGGACAGAGTGTCCTCCCGGGTTCCTAAGGCCAAGGCCAACCCCTGTTCTCGGTTCTGATCACGCGCCTTCCCAGGCCTAGAGCTCGGGGCTCTCGCATGTCTTAGTGACCTTGACCTACAGCTGGCCTAGGACCCGTCCTCCCCCCCCTTCCTTCCCCACATTTCCTGGACCGGTGCCCACACGGCCCCTGGCCTCGTTCCCTTCCGCTGCTGCGGCTCTTGTCCTCTGGCACGGCCATGGCTGGGCTGCCCGACCTCTCCCCTGGCCCTGGCCTGAGCACCGCCATCCTGGCCCCTCCCCCGGATTCTCACCTCCTCTCCAGCCTCTCCTTCACTAGAAATGCACGAAATTAACCCTCTTCTTTCCTCTCTCCATATTGTCACCTGCCTTCGCTTTCTTCCTCCCCATCCCCAGAGCAGCACTCCCAACCTAGGTCTCTAATCCCCGCCTCTTTCGGATCTACTCCCCCCATCCCTGGTGCTCCGACTCCGGGCAGACCCCCTCCGCCTCCAGACCCAAGCCAGCTGCACCCCTCCCCACCCCTCTGCCTGAAATCCCACCTCTGTCTAGGCACCAGCATGTAGCCATCGTGGCTCCTCCGTAGACACGACCGTATCAAGCAGGTTGGCAAGTTCACAGGATTCTGGTGAGTCTTCTCACGTGCAAGACTGCGGTTTTCAGAGCTAAAATTTCACTCGGAGCCAGAAGCCCGTTTGACATTCTTGGCCTGTCCCTTTACAAACATGCTGCAGCGGTTAGGGGATTCTGATGAATAACCTTTGATTCTCACAAATTAAGTACCACTGCAGCTACCTGAGTAAAATAAAAGTCAAGTTCGGACTGGAGACCCTTTTATCTCCACATAAGAACCACTGCCACGGGAACCTGAGCTCAGGGACTCAGAAAAAGTCCTAAGCGGTCCTGGAGGGTGTGCGTTCCCAATTTTGGACTCCATTTCCCCGAAATTTTGTTTTTTTACTTTCTAATCCTAAACTCAGCCTCAGTTTATGAATCAGGACTTCAGAGGCAGACTTTCCTTAATTTGGAAAGAGGGGGAAAGGGGGTGGTTCACCATAGACTTTTTCCTTCTTCCCTTCTCTTTTCAGTCTGGAATCTGCTTGTTTGAAAATTAGGCCAGATCTGTTACTACTGTTCTCACCAAGTCCCAAGTCTGCATGATCTTTTCTAGGCTTTGGGAAACCAAACCACATGGCTCGCTGATGCCCCCCGCTGGCATGCGTCACTATGCATTGAACACAAAAGGTTTTTCTCTAGGGATCCCATCAGCCCGAAAGACTTCTGGGGTCTTGACAAGGGGTGTTTTGGGGTATTCAAGCTCCTGCAATCAGTGGCTGCAGTTGGGTCAAATCTGCAGGAAGAGCCACGGGCCAAGGATGGGAACTCCAGTGAGGTCAAGAGAATATCGTGCCCAAGACTGAAGAGTCAGATGTGTGTGCAGGGTTGGGGTGTGTTGGGGGTCGGGGTCGAGATGAGCTGCAGGGGTGGGGCGGTAGCTGGGCCTGGCAGGTGCGTGATACAGATGGGCAGCTGGAAGAGAGGCTGGGGGTCAGGGAGAACTTGAGGGCGACTTCTCACTCTGCCCCTGAGCAGGTGCATGCCTGCGGTCATAGGCCCCCCCCCCCATCATACTCCCATCAGTCGGAGGGCGCGGAGGCTCTTCCTTCAGCAGGACGAGGACCTTTGAGAGGTGATCCCATTTAGGAGAGAAGCCAGAAAACTGACCCAGAAAACTGACCAGAACCGCAGGGTGCTTGGACCCTTCTGATCGGGGCTGCACGCTGGGGTCCTCGCAGGGGGGCTGTCTGCTTCCCAGCCTCTGGGCCCTCGGCCCTGAGACGCCTCTGCCTCCGGTTTGGTTTGGCCTTGTGCAGAGCTGTTTGAGAGAAGGCGCACAGGAGCTGGTGGAGCTCCCGACACGGGGGAGCGCTCCCGGGACCTTCTCGTTGGAAGGTCGGAGGGGGGGTGCGGACGGGCTCGGCCATCCGTACCCGAGCGCACCTCAGTGCACTCGCAGCCTGTCCTGTATGAGCCACTCACTGGTCTGTGAAAGGAGCCGGGGACGGTCTGCCCGTCGACTGTCCTTACACCTGACACAGGGAGACTCAGATCAAGTCAGGGCCTGTACTGGGACCAGTGGGGCTCCCAGAGTCATCTCAACCCCCATTCTGAGCAGCCTGAGGGCCCCAACAAGCCTAAGGATGGGGCCTCACGGGGCCATCTTACAGGAACAAAGGGGCTTTTCTCACTTCCAAAAAAAGCACCCAAATCTTCTGAAGAAAGATGAGCACTGGCAAAACAAAAAACTAAAGAATTTTGGTGGTAAATTATACAGTCTAGAACAAAGTTTTATTTAGGTAAGTCTAATAAAAAATATCACAAAGTAAAACACATTAAAAACTTTATTATAAGTATTACACTTGTCCAAATTTGCATCAATTTGATACATTGCCGCTCCTTTTGCAGAACACAAGAGTCACATCATTGCCTTTGATCTTAACAGTTGCCCTGCTTCCATCCCCTGGCCCTCACCAGGCCCACCCCTGCCTCCCTCTGCCTCCCTCCCTCCTGTGGCGGTGTCCTCTGCAGGCAGTCCACCCCGCCTGGCATGGACATCAGGTCACACGGGGCTGGGGAGCTCCTGCCTCCAGAGCGGCTGGGCCCCACACTGCTCCAGGGAGCCCCTGCTCTGTCCTGTTTTCACCCCCAGCCTGAGAGGATAACCGCACATATTCTGAGCAAAAGGAACCCCAGTTAAGTTCCACAGAGTATTCCAGAACCTTGAATCAGAACTTATTATTTTCTTTAATGGAAGTGAGGAGGAGCAGGAGTTAGAGATACTCCCTGGATGAAACGGGCAGGAACTGTGGGGAGTAGGATCTGCTTCTCTGTTTCTCCTTCCTCACTCAGGCCTGGCTAAGACCGAGTGCAGCAGATCTGTGCTGTTCACCCCCTAGAAAAGGTGACACCCAGCAGCCACTGGGGTTTGAAAGCAAATGTGAGGGAAAAAATAGTGATAAGAAATAGTCCATAAGGAATACTTTGCCATGTTCTTCCTGAATAACATTCCCCTGTCACGGGATTTATGATCGGATATAATGTAGGCTGTCACATTACAGTGGAAAGAATATTATATTAGCAATAATTTCCCATTGTGGGTGCTATTCCATTGCTTACAGAAATTTGCAGTTTTAATGGATTTTAAACACATTAGGAATTTCCAAACGAAGGAAAATGCCCCATTAAAAAAATGCAGATAGAAAAATACATGCTGATTTAATGGCAAACTTATTTTCGAGACTTTTTTTAACGGCAATGGCCTTGGAATGAAGGGAGGAGCGGCGGGGACCACCGTTTGCCCATGAGAGCACAGGAGGACGCATGCCCAGGACAGTGCTGGCCCCAGGCTGCCTCAGGGTCAGGACCTCACCCGCTTGGGGGGGGGGGGGCAGCAGCTTGGCCAGTCTCTATCCACCACTCAGGACCCTCAGTGCTGCAGCAGGAAGTTGGTAGCCACATTCAGGTCATTGTTTGAAGCTCTCAGGGCTTCCAAAGCATCACCCCTAGAAAATCCCATCTCCATGAGCCGAGCAACCTGAAAACAGAAAAACCAGAAATCTGATGAGGTTGAAGACTCTGCTACTTAGCCACCAGCCCCCATAATGTTCCTCATGAGAGTTCTGTAGGAGAAGTTTCTTTAAAAACCCCTAATTTTCATTTCAGTCTGAAATCTGATCTTTGAAAAATTTTGATGAGGCACAGCATAATGTGCCATAAAGTGCTTACCATATAGCTAATAAGTATAATTATCTCATTTAATCCTTATTTTAGAGACAAGCAACGAGCGTCCAAGGGTCAAGTGACCTGTCAAAACGAGCAGAGGGTGGATGAGCCCAAGGAGTGCTGCCTGGAAAGCTGGTCTGTACAAGCAGCCCTCCGTTCACACAACTTTCACACTTCAGTATCAAATCTGATTCCTGCAAACAACTCCTCAAGGCATGTTTCCTTGTGCATGTAAACAGTTGCTTAATTGAATATTATTTCTGATGCTGGCAAACACCGGTGACAAAAATCTGTGCAGGTTCTTGGAATCACATAGAGAAGTGTCCTTTGGATGCCTATACCTCATTAACCTTTCATGTGAGTTGTAACATTTGCTAGGTTCCTGGTGGTGGTGGGGGCTCTCTGGGCAGCTGCAGAGAATGCATGCACAAAAAAGGGGGGGTGAGGCCTGAGGCAGAAGCAGGGGGCGGAGGAGGTAGCTAAAGTTACCAAGGGTAGGGAGGAGGAGGCTTGCATTTTCTTGACCACAAATCCTGAACCTGTGAATACAGAGGTTTCCTGTACTTTGACATACAATTTCCAATGGAGTGGGCAGTGCCACTAAAGTTTATTTGTAAACTTTTTTCGCATTTAGAGATGTATTATAAACATATTTATGACCCCAAACTAGCCAAAGGAATCTATTCTTCGTACTTATGTTGAAATATACGTTTGCAATAATATGTAATGAAAAATGACACACATGTTGAGATTTTCACATGTGGGTGAAAGAGGCTTTTGTGGACTGAAGACTTAGTCACCATTTCTAATGTCTTGGGCAAAATGGAAAGAAAAAGCCTGCTACTACCCTCCTTCCCCTGCTAGGGGAGTCGGGGTGTGTGAGCAGGGCGGGCAGAGGGGCCGCAATGAGGTAGAGGGGGAGGAAGGAGCACAGAGCCAAGTAGGTGGCGGGGCCCTCGTCCCTCCAGGAGCCTCAGGGAGAGAGAGGAGGCAGGGGGCACTTCTCAGAAGCTCAAGTTCTAGCTGGAATCTTTCAAACTGAGGCTGTGATCCCTCTTTAGTGCGTCACCAACACTTAGTGGGTTAAGATTAGCATTTAAAATATGCATGTAGTGGGGGTCTTTCTTCCATAAAACTGCATTTCAGTTCTCCATATGCACACATATGCATGCTGTGCATGGTGTTTCTTACTGTGGGCTGTGGTCAGAGACTCTCGACAGCTGCTTTCTAAAGAACAGTCGGGCCTGGGAAAGGGCTGTCGGCGAGTGACAGGCATGGCCCTCACACGCGGGAGAGCCCCGGGGGCCACGGGCAACGGCCAGCTCCGCTCCCCAGGCCGACAGGCAGTGTGCAGAGTGGCAGGGTTCTTCTGCTTTCACTTCTGGCACCAGGAAAGAACCACCTTCCCCAGAATGTCACAAGCAATCCTCACTCACTGGTCAAGATGGAAAGTTCTTCCTCAATCGAAGAAGAATCTGCCTCTCACCAGTTGCCACCCATGGGACTTCAAAGGTCCTAATTTTGCCCTTTGAAGTACCAGGAAACAACCCCATTCCCTTTTCCGGGTGAAGCACTTGGCACGTCTGAAGGCTGCCATCCTGCCCTCTCCACCTTCACTTCTCCGGGCAGCACCCCAACAGGGCCCTCGCCGCCTTGACTGCCGGTGCCTCCTCTCCCAGGGGCTCTTCCTTCGTCCCTGGCCTGATTAGCTCCGCTTCATCCGTGGGCTCCGGGGCGCCTGGCCCTGCCCCATTCTCCCAGACGAGAAGGAACCCCAGAGACATCCTGCGGCTCCAAGGACCTGCGTCCTGTGCTCGCCATGGTTGTGACTTGCACCCGTACCCGTCGGGAGGGCTGCTCCCTGCCACTCCGTGGTGCGCCCTCTGAGAAGGGCCGTGGCTGCCTCACCGACTCCTGAGCTTCAGGACTCGTCACTTTCTCGTGGCCCTCCCGGCAGTGCTCGCCCGCTGCGCCGCCCTGGGGCCGCAACCTCCATACGGCACGGTGTGCTTCTGTCGTGTGCACACACACGTGTATGCGTGTGCCCATGCTCCTTTGTGTGCGGCCAGGTATGCTGGGGCCTGCTATAAACACTCCGGTATTTTCACCTGAAATGCCTCCAAGCCAGGCCTTGCATATCCTACCGTGGAAGTTTTATGTGTTCTTCTGGGTTTAGGACCTCACGGACCTCCGTTAACGAACCTCCGTTAAATGTCCTCTGGCCATTTTCTAGCCAAAAACTAATTTCAGTTTAAATTCTGTTGTCTCCAAGTTACTCAGCTCCCTCAAAACTGTATCATCCCCAGATTTGATTAGTAAACCTCTATAAGGTCACTCATGTGATTACTGAAAATGTCAAGCAGGCAAAATCAAAGATGTGGCCCAGAACTCACGAGAGGCCTCCCTTTCTCAACTGGCGAACCAAGAGATTTTTAGCCAGCTTAAAACCCACTTCATATTATAACTATCCATTCCACTTGTCACCGATGTACCTCTCACAGTGACAAGATGTAGTTAGATGTCTTGATGACATCCTGTGTTAGCAGGAGCAGGTTAGTACCTACAGACCACAACACTCTTCTTAACACTCAAGTCATCTGTTTGATAATCTATTTTAGGCTCTGCCAGACATGAAACATCAATTTTGCCATTTGATTACCAGAATCCACACTTTCCTCTTTCCTTGGGGGGATTTCAAACTGAGTATGACTCGCCTTGATTTTTCTGCCCCGACCAGCACACTCTCGGGGAGTTGGGCTCCAGGACTCGGGCTGGACGCGTGTCAAACCGAGGCAATCCTTCCTACGTTATTACCTGGATTGAAGTAACCCTTAATGATGTCTATTCCACCTACTTCTAGCTAAGAACCACTATCTTTAGTGGAGTTAATGGAGCTTAGTGAGGATGTGGGCAGCTCTACCCGCCTTCTCTCTGTTATTCATGAAAACAACAGCTCTGCCCAGCAACATGGCTGTTCTGAACAACTTCAAACAGTGTGGCCAACACTACACTCACCACCACAACTTTGTCACCTTTAGTACATCAAGCATAGCTAAAGACTGGCGGCTTCTTTGCACCTAGCCAGCAGGAATAAATCTGTTTGACAAATCATGATTCACAACCTGGAACTGATGATGTGTGAGCCAGACCCACACTGGTGGCAGGCGAGGGTGCTAGGCCACAACTTCCAGCTGGTACTTGAGTCTTGTGTCCAGGGACTCTGAATCTGGTTTGGAGTCCAAAAGGTGCTGACAGTGGGCTGGCTGCACAGACCACCACAGTAGAGCACCAGTACTGACTGCATGCAGGCCCTGCACTTGCCCCCCTAGAGGGGATCTCCTGGGTGTCCCAGGGAACATAAGTGACGTCAGCGCAAAGGGAAAAGCTTTCTCTGCATGTGAGGCTTCCTCCTGAGTTTGCTCTCTCAGAAATGAAGAAGCCCACGTGCGCCATCGTTGGTTTTAACAACTGGGCTGGGTTTTTCACAGGTCTTTGCTGAAGAGCGCGTTGGCTGTACGTATAAGGTTGCAGCGCCTGGCCATGCCTCCTCTGAAGGCTGGCGATCAGGCCCTGTTAGCCAAAGCTGACCTCAGAGCGTCCTGCGATTTTTAGGGGTGAGACGACAAGTGTGATTGGAGAATGGTCCTGGATGAATGACCTTGTACTGTAACCAGATGAAAAAACTTATAAAGTAGAAATAATGTTAATAGTTCTTCTTTTAAAAATCTGTAAAAATTACACTAAAAAAGTATATCTGTAAGTTTCTCCTAGTGTCCCAAACAGTAAACACCCAAGGGAAAGTGAAATTGTATGCTTGGGCTTAAGAATGTGGGTAATAACCAGGCAGAAAAGACAAGAAGCAGGGAGACAGCAGTTCTGACAGAGGTTTCTTAACTGCTCCCATTTGCCAATGGGGGGCGGTGCCAGGAGGGGTTCCCCTGCCCACAAGGAGGCCTGGCGCTGCCGTCCCTTCCAGGTGTGGTACAAGGTTCCCAAGCAGAGTTTGAACTGCAGCGGGTTGGTGACACAGACAACAGGTGCCTACAGCTCCCTTGGGTGCTCCACCATCACATGACAATGTAACAACTGCAATACCGTAGCAGTGACCTGTCCTTGACCTCTAGCCAGCTTGCCCAATGCCAGTGTGCTCTGTCACTGTCTGAGGAAGAGGCTTATCAGCACCTGAAGCATGAGCTCCTGCAATGACCTGTAGTCAGAGAAGCAAATACAGACAGGACTCCAAAGATTCACAACTCCTTAAAATAAAAACACAGAGAAGGCTGGTGGCTGTGTTAGCTCTGACCTCAGTGCAAGAGAACCGTCCCAGCCCCTGCTGCGGAGAGGGTAGTTTCCCATCAGCAGGCAGGCAGGGCCCAGGCTCTGGGGTCAGGCCCCACACGCCACATACGCACCGTGTGAGCCAGGCAGGGAACTAAAACTGTGGGCTTGAAGCATCACCACGGTGGGCGACATGTGTGAAGGGCCTTGCCTAGTAACCAGCATCTGACAGGTACCCAGTAGGCACTGCCCCTGGTGAGAATTCTCACCCCTCTGAAGACTGACTGGCCCAGGTGTGTGGGTCCCTCCCTGTGACCCTCTTGGCTTCAGTTCAGAGGGTTCCCACAACCTGACAAAACCACTCTCAGGTTTTGTTTTTAGCGTTCACTTTAATTGCTTTCACTTTACTCAATTTATATCCTTTGTTGGGCAAAGAACTACTGTGTCTATTACACCAATTAGGGAGCCCTGGTTTGTTTTCAAGGAACCCCAGCTAGCCCCGAGTGGCTGGGAGGAGGGTCTCAGAGCAGAAGA